AAGGCATTCATTCGAGTGGTTTTAAAATTGAATACATGGAATGCAATTTTAGTAGTAGTAGATCTAGTAGCGGGGCTATAACAATGAGTGATCATGCCACAAAAAGGAGAGAACATGTTAGATGCCTCGTGTCTATTGTTCAAAGTGATGGTGAAATAGTTGCGGATGTTGTTAGAAACATGAAAGGGTTAGTGCAATTACAGTGACAGACAACATTAGAGAGAGTCATCTTAGATAGTTTGGTCACATTAAACATCTATCATCTGATAATTTAGTATGGAGAATAGATGTTTTAAACATCGATCATTTGATGATTTAGTTTGGAGAATAGATGTTTTAGATTCATCTTGTATTAAGATGGGTAGAGGGATACCTAAGAAGACATGGGCATGTTGTAAAAAAAATGATCTTAATTTAATTTATTAAAATAAAATGAAAATATGACACTCAATACAACACAATGGAGAAAATTGATTCAAGTAGCCAACCTCACTTAGTGGAATAAGGCTTGTTGTTATTGTTGTTGTATATTTTTTTATAATTTCATCTATGTTATCGTGGAGATTTACCATAAAAAAAAGCTAGTAATTAATGAATATGTTGTTATTATTATACATGTTATTTTAATTGCAATTGCAAGTATTTTAACTATTATTTTTTTCTTATTATATCATCTATTTTTTCATATATCCAATGAAAATAATGAAGTCGTGTTCTATTTTTTTAAAAGCAAAATACAACTAGAAAAAGAAGAGCAAAATACAACTACAAAAAAGAGAAAGGGCGTTTGTTAACAAAATATCTATATATATATATATTTTTTTTTTTTCTTATGATTCACGCCTCTCATGGCATAAAGAAAAGTTTTCCCAAAAGGGAGTCAATGATACGAATGCTCTAATCAAAGAGTTAGAAACCTATTGTGATAAAAAATCATCATGTGCATCATAAGTAGAAAGAGGTTGATGCCTACATAGAACTTGTGAAGTATTTTTGGTGATAATATCAACAAATAATGAGGTGATGCCTTTCTAGAACTTGTGAAGTATGTTTGGTGATAATATCAACAAATAATGAGGTTATCATTACCAAGAAGCTAGTGAGCACAAAAACTTTAACCACTACTTCTTGTAGAGAATCTAAACATGGCACAAATGTAGATTGGTTAAATAATAGAAACGAAGTCATGAAAACGAGATCCAAATTAAAGTGAAATGAGTTCCACACATCAATTAAAATGTGGGGACCATTTTAACAAGCGCTATAGAAAGTCATTGATACAATATGAACGTTGTGAGAACAGACAGGTGCAATTTGCTTTTAAAAAAAAGTTGATGACATGAACATAAACAAATGTAGATTGGTTAAATAATAGAAACGAAGTCATGAAAACGAGGTTCAAATTAAAGTGAAATGAGTTCCACACATCAATTAAAATGTGGGGACCATTTTAACATGCGCTATAGAAAGTCATTGATACAATATGAACGCCGTGAGAACAGATAGGTGCAATTTGCTTTTAAAAAAAGTTGATGACATGAACATAGTCAATGAGCCCAATGAAATAGTCACAAAATAAGATATAAATCAACCAAGAACTTGCAAATTGCGACTAAGTTTTAATGTTGCACTTTCTTCGATAAATATTACTTTAATCTTAGGATCCATCGTAGAAACTAAACGTTGAATTCTTGAAGACATAACATCAATCTTAATCGAAAGTTTTCTTAAGTGATTTTGGTAGCTTAAAATGTAATTAACTATAGATGTAATTAGCTAGACTGAATGTTTATGACAAGTGGATAATAATCTATGTTGTGTCTTCCATTATACTAAGTTTTAATATCTCACTTTCTTCGGTAAATATTACTTTAATCTTAGGATCCATCGTAGAAACTAAACGTTGAATTCTTGAAGACATAACATCAATCTTAATCGAAAGTTTTCTTAAGTGATTTTGGTAGCTTAAAATGTAATTAACTATAGATGTAATTAGCTAGACTGAATGTTTATGACAAGTGGATAATAATCTATGTTGTGTCTTCCATTATACTAAGTTTTAATGTTTCACTTTCTTCGATAAATATTACTTTAATCTTAGGATCCATCATATAAACTAAACGTTGAATTCTTGAAGACATAACATCAATCTTAATCTAGAGTTTTCTTCAATGATTTTGATAGTTTACGATGTAATTAACTATAGGACTTGCACCTATAGGAAATTAGTAACCCGGATAATCTAAACCCTATATAGGGGAAAGATTTGTTAGTATATTAGCACACAAAACAAATATCATAAATTTCTTAATTTAAATAATTGAACTCATTATTAAGTGATATTCTCATCTTTCGAGATGACATTACTTATAATATCATATTCAATTATTTAAATAATTAAATATTCGAGATCTATTAAATCTTATTTTCAAAAATGAAAACTTATTTTTCCAAATACAAAAATAAAACCAACAAGCATCAATACCCCTGACATGAAGGCCAACTCGTTTGAATTAAAGCGCATCATTATCTGGATGGTGCAAAACAACCAGTTTAAAAGAACACCATCAAAAGACCCTAATTTGCACTTAGCAAGCTTTTTAGAACTGTGTGCCACATTTCGCTATAATGATGCCTCCAACGACATTGTTAGGCTAAAGTCTTTTCTTTAGCGAAATGTGGCACACAGTTCTAAAAAACTAAAATGTGGCTTAATTCCTTAGCTCCTGGGTTGACCTGAAATGATCTGACCCAGATATTTTGTGTAGTATTTTCCACCATAAAAAAGGGTCAAACCTGGGAACAATATTATCTCTTTTCGCCAGTTTATGAAGAATAAATTTACGAAGTCTGGGAAAGGCATACGAATTGGTTGATCATTTAGACTTTTTATAACAGATTGGTAAGGTCTTATTAGGTCGATCATAGACATAGCTGCAGAAGGTTCCCTAATGTCGAAACTCTTTGATGAGGCCTATCATTGATTGAGGAGACGACAACAAATAATTTTCAATGATCTTCTGATCGAGTAAACTATAAAAAGGTAGTCAGTGTGCACAACATAGATATTCTATCAATTTTAACTTCTCAATCTCTAAAAGTTAAACTAACTAGGAATGAATCACCCCCATTAACCCTCCAATCATAGAGGAAAATTATTATGAACAACTGGTGGATCCTAATGCATTGTCTGTAGAGACAATGAACATCATTAATAATAGGTTCAACAACCCATACTTCCTTAATGTCGAAACCCTATTCTATCAATTTTAACTTCTCAATCTCTAAAAGTTAAACTAACTAGGAATGAATCACTCCCATTAACCCTCCAATCATAGAGGAAAATTATTATGAACAACTGGTGGATCCTAATGCATTGTCTGTAGAGACAATGAACATCATTAATAATAGGTTCAACAACCCATACTTCAACACCCATACTTCCCTAATGTTGAAACCCTTTGATGAGGTCTATCATTGATTGAGGAGATGACGGCAAATAATTTTCAATGATCTTCTGATCGAGTAAACCCTAAAAAGGTAGTCGGTGTGCCCAACATAGATATTCTATCAATTTTGACTTCTCAAGTAGCGGTTATCTCTTAAAAGTTAAACTAATTAGGACTGAATCACCCACATTAACCTTCAATCATAGAGGAAAATTCTTATGGGACAACTGGTGGATCCTAGTGCATTGTCTGTAAAGACAATGAACGTCATTATTAATAGGTTCAACAACTCATATTTCAACACCTATAACCCAGGTTGAAAGAATTACCCTAATTTTAATTGGAATAATAATAACCTAAAGGTAGGGAACCAACAGTAGAGAAATAACCAATTCAATGTATAGGAAATTGAAGTAACCAAGGTAGCAGTAACCCAAGACAGACTTACCCTCTTGGCGTTAACTCAAACCTACAGTTTAAGGATAAAAAGCTGTCTTTGGAAGAAATAGTGATGCAAATAGGAAATCAACTGCAGAGTCAAGCTGCAGCCATTAGGAATATAGAAAACAAATTGAGCCAAATAGCAAACTCTTTAGAAATAGACCATAATGAACTCTTCCTAATAACGCCAAAGTCAACCCTAAGAAGAAGAGTAATGAGCAAGTGAAGGCTATTAAATTGAGGAGTGGAAGGAAATTAAAGGAAGTAGGAGGGAGCTCGAGGAAGTAGAAGACAATCCTGAGCCCGAAAGACCAATTGAAAACCCTTATAAGGATTTAGGAAGAACAGTCTCATCCCTTAAGACTTATTTAGAAAGACCGCCTCCACCATTTCCTCAAAGGTTTCAAAAAACACAAGTTGGATCGGTAATTCTTTAGATTTTTGGAAGTGCTTAAGAAGCTTATCATCAATATTCCCTTCGCCGAAACTTTAGAACAAATGACTAGCTACGTTAAGTTTATGACGGACATACTAAATAAAAAACATAAGTTAGGGGATTTTGAGATTATAGCACTGGGTGAGGAATGTGGTGCTATTATACAAAAAAAAGTTTCCTCAGAAACTCAAGGACCCTAATAATTTTACTATCCTAAGTGTTATATGTGAGAAATTTTTTGAGAAAGCTTTATATGACTT